ATACTCTCACTCGCTTCTTGGAGGGCTACATCAGCGGCTTCCATGAATACCTCCCGTTTCTTCACATTCCTACTCTGACACCCGCCGAAATGGCACCCGAGCTTCTCCTTGCGATTCTGGCCGTTGGCGCTCAGTATCGATTCGAAAGTCACCGAGGTCACGCTTTATGGTATGCCGCCAAGGCTGTTGCGCTTGAACAAATTCGACGGCGGCATAGTCACGAAGTGCATGCCCTGCTCCCGACACCAGCTGCGTACAGCCCGCACTCGACGCGACCCTCCCCGACCTCTGGCTTCCGTCACACCTTTGCTTCGGCCCAACAAGATCGCCCGATGACTCAAGACACCCACCGAGAGCCTTTGTAAGCGCATCATCTGTTTATGCGCCATCAGCACACTAACCTTTTGAACAGCTCGCCGAATACGCCACAAGCCCGACTTGAGACGACCCAAGCCGTCCTTCTACTTTTCGCAGTAGGGCTCTGGGGAGCCAAAGCCATCTTGCACGAGGCTCTGTCCCTGCAGAGCCACCTCGCCATGCTGGTACGCGAAGAGGGTCTGGTCGCCGAGTCCGGTCCGGCCGTCGCGCCAGATTGGGAGACTTGGATCCGACTCGAAGGGGCTACGCGGACAAAGCTCATAGCATACTGCTTCTTCAACCTCTGCAGTATCGCGTACAATGTGCCGCCCCTTATCCTTACATCGGAACTCGGCCTCTTCTTGCCCTCTCCATCCCGGCTGTGGAGGGCCGAGTCAGCATGGCAGTGGCAGGAAGACCGGCAAAATTACCCGTCCGCCGAGATCACCGTCCACGACGCCTTCTCTAGGGTCTTGACGACCTCGCCCCAGGGCCTGCCTCCGCACATGTCGTCCCTCGGAAATTACGTCCTGATCCACGCTTTGCTGCAGCATATATACCTGTTGAAGCAAACCTCCTTCGCGCTGAGCTCGCCGTTCGGGCCCCAGAGAGGCCTGAAGCCGGAGGACGTTGAAGAGGTCACCGCGGCGCTGCGGATCTGGCAGGTCAGTTTCGAACATCGACACCAGTTACGTGCGGCCGATGCAGGGCACGTGGGCAACAGCGACTCGTTCCCAGGTGGCCCGGTAGCTTTCAACTCGACTGCTCTCTTACGTCTGGCGTACATTCGCCTGTACACGGAGATCCCGCCTGGAAGGTGCCTCGAAACCCGGGATCATATGCTGGTCGCTTCGTCGCTGAGCGGCATGCCCCTTCTGGTTCGTACCTTGAGGCTGCACAGAGCCGTGTTCCAGGCTATCCATGCCCTGTCCATGTTGGTCAAGGCCGGTGTCAACTACGTTGCGAGGACAAAGAGCCTGGAATGGAGCATCCAGCACGCCTGTAAGTACCCTTCCAAGCTGACACGGCTTCCGCTTGCTAACTCGGGCTGTTTGCAGTGTGCAACTTTGAATGTGCCATCCTGTTATCCAAGTGGCTTCTCACCCTCGCGTCGATCGGGCCGAACGATCCGCCTGCGACACCCGAAGAGAAGAATCTTCTGCAGTCGGTTAGGAGGATGCTCGACGAGACGGAGTTCGCCGTGCCCATTGATCCATCCCTGGGCGGGCCCGCAGCCGGGCAGCCTGCCAGCAGCGAGGTGTCTGCCAACGACAGCACGCGGCTAAGGCAGCTGGCCGCGGCGGTCATCAGGCTCTGGGCGGAGACTTTCAAGGGCTCTCACATTTTCGAGATGGTCAGGGTCATGGGCTCGAGTCTGGATGGGTATGCCGATTTGGTCGAGAAGCCCCGAGACAGGACGCCTCTAGGCCGCATCGCCCATGATCCCAGCCTCGGGTGACGGGCCCGGGTAGCAGATGACTACACCTAATACCGGATAATCGGACCTCGCAGATTGTGCAGTTGCTCGAAGGGGGGCAAGGGGCAGGGCACGTCGCTGGTGATTAACAAAGCTCAACCGTTTGATGCAAAGAAACGCCATTTTCTCCCGATTCGGTTGCTCGCAGCCCAATTCTGTGCCTTGAAAAGCTCTGTTCGGTATGGGCCCCGGTCCCCGTCTCGAAAGGGACGGTATCGTAACGGCGTGGTCAAGACGACTCGTTGCGTTTTCGTATGCGTGAGGGGTAAAAAGCTGGCCCAACGCCCAGAAGAAGCATTTGAAGTTGTGTAGCTAAGAGAGGGCGAGAGAGTAAATTGAGGGTCTGGTGTGTCGTTAGCTTCCCCCGCCCTCAGACGTTGGAGAGAGACCAAAGTCGGGATCTCGGGGCGTCGAGCCGGCGCGGAGTACCAACAGACAGGCAACGGCTACGTGGCATTGAGTGCTCAGAGACGAAGCAGGGGGAAACGTCTGGCGCGGCGCTTCTCGTGCACGTTTCGACGTATCTCGTCAGGCAGCAAAAGAAAGGGTCGGAGAATAGTGGTGGTACCGGTAGTGGGCTTTTTGTTTTTTTGCTCTTGCTTTTTCGTGCTTGTCAATTTATTGGTCCGGGTCAGCTTACCCACCGGTTTCGAGAGGCCGCATCTCGGCCGATTTGGGTTTGTTGACGTTCCGCTTTTGGATAGGGGATGGATGGATGGATGGGTGGGATTGATGTAGCCGCCACCTCAGCAGCACCAGCTGCTGCGGCCACGGCGGACGACGACGACGGTGACGCGATATGCGTACTGAGACCGAATCGGCGTTGACAGGCTCTAAATGAATAATGACAAAAATAACGGGTTGACCATCTCGTATGTATGGGGGTGCTTGCAGGAGGTGCCTGGGCGTCATCGATGCCCGGGCCTAGAACTCCACCGACAGCGCGTGGAGCCGTTAGTGAGCCCAGACCCGGAAAAAAGAAAAGGAAGAAAAAAAAAAGTCGAGGTTGCTCGTAGAGCAGCATGACGAGCAATGAGGGACAGGGATATGTGACTTGGGATGTGCCACCCGAGGAGGGAGAATATGGGGATTTTCCTTGATAGGCCGGGTCGCAGAACCTGTGCTGGATGTGGTTGACGTTTTTGATATCGCCAAGATCGGGCGCTGTCAGGTCACCGGAGGGATTCTCCCGTACGGAGCTATTCTCGGAGGAGTATGCTAGGCACTCACTCTCTTACGGTTCTTGTCCTACTTTTTGAAGCCAGGGGGGCTTTCATGTTGGGAATCACTCGAGAGCTGAATGGCGCGATTGCTTGGGTGAGGGTTACACACACACACACACACACACACACTCACACACACACACTCACACACACACACTCACACACACACACACACTCTCTCTCTCTCTCTCTCTATACGCCACTGTCGATGGGCAGACCTGTGGGAGATGCCATTGGTGCCGGGCAATGCCCCCTTTCGATTTAAAAACTCACGTATTTGGGGCCCGGGTTTTCGCCTTTCCCACATACATATACAACGCCGCGGTGGTATCTTCTGTTCGGTTCGGGGCGGTTTTCTTTCATTTTGCAAAATACATAAAAAAACAATAAGAAAAATATGGTAACTGCGGAGGGTGGGGTGTCCGTTGCGGCTTTCTGCCTTTCCATGATACCAAGGCCGCATGTCTTATCGCTGCCAACGGTCTTGTTGGTGGGGAAGGGAATGCCATGGCTTGCTCAAGGACCCTGGATTGATGAGAAGGCGCTCACGTATGATGATTTGCTTTCAGACAGCGGCCCCCTCTTGCGGAAGACGCTCTCCTAGCGGATGGGACTTAGTAACGACGCCAGGCGAGGTTCCGAGGTTCTGCGGAGGAGCGCCAAGAAGGCGGTTGGCGGCTGCGGCGGCAGTTTGGGAGGTAGAGGGAAGACGATGGTGGCGACGGTGGCGGTGGCGTGGTCGAAGTCTTGTCCGACCAACAAGGTTGGAACAAAGCTGGCGTTGGCGGCAGCGGTGGTGATTGATGCTACTTCAGCAAATACATCAATGACAAAACGTATCATCACAGCTTCTGGGGAGAAGCTGGCCTCTCACCCAGGCACAGTCCAGTTGTAGGCGGAGGTACGGCTAACGGCCCTCTCGTGGGGCTTGCGCCTTTGGCCCCTTTTTTCCTTCTTCCGTCCCGTCTTCCATCCCCCCGTCCTACCTTTCGTCCTACCTCTTTTCAGACATAAGCTGGCCTCAACTCAGAAGACCATCGTTAGTGGATTAACGACCGCAATCAGCCAACAGGTCTATGTTTGAGGGTAACTTGCAGATTAGTTTCAACGGGTCCCTCATCGCCGGTGCTCGTGTATTCACTGTCTGCCGTTTGCAGCAAGACGGAGAGCCGGACAGTACCAGGACTAATGGACTGCAAGCCTTGAACAATGATCCTCCTCACATCGACAGCAGTCTCTGGCATCTTTGATATATCTTCCCTGAGGGATGGCTACGATACCCCTCACGCCGCTCCGAACATGTATCGCAAGGATAAGGAAAGGCGCAGGCCTCCGCAAGGCTCCATTTAATAGGTCCCACGCGGATCCACTCGCTTTGAGAGTCTTACGATCCGAGGAGGGTTTTCTTTACCGGGTATCCGAGGTGAGGCGGCAAGTATACCTACGTTTAGAAGTGAGAGATGGCTGCTGTCTCTTCGCGGCTGCTTCGATCGGGGGCCAAGAATCTCTGGCTTGTTCGGTTCGAGAGAATGACTAGAAAATGCAGCTCCCGCGTATGCTTCACTTTACAGTCAAGAGTGAGGTCCTATCTATATTAAAACATGAGACATACAAGAACCAGGGTGCGCCAGATTACATGCATGGCCCGGAGTCTCGGTGCCGGTGTACAGCTGGGTGTCTCCTCAAAGGTCCTATCCGCGCTACAAAAGGCATATTTGCCGCAGAGTTTGTCTTTCCGTCCCAAGATTCGTTGAATCGGGAGCGGCTTGAGTGTAGCATGAAATCCTGTCTGTGTATATCGGAGGTGCATTTCTTCTTGATCAAGACACCGACGTTCCCCAGACCTGATGGGCGATGGCAGGATCCGAGCACGTGTAAGGTCATGTGACTTCGCGTTCATCTGCGTCAAGTCTGTCGCGTCTGTCCCCGCGATCCACTGGGCCCGATGACGCACTACAACATTGGGGACAATACCAAGGTTTGACCAAGACCAACCAAAATCGCATGAACCAACGCTTGGCTGGACTGCGACACGCTCTTCTCAGATCGATTGAAGGAATTCTTGCAAGGGCACATCCAAAATGCCGGCCCGGAAACGCCGTGCGACGTCGCCGCCTGCGGAGGTCGAGAACGAAACCCGCCGGCGGTCCCGGCGCATCTCGAGCACGCCGAAGAAGAGCAAGTACTTTGACGGAAGCGATGCCGATGAAGGATTTTATGGCGACGCAAAGCTCGAGGATGAGGCCGATGAGCCTGGGAGCGAGGCCGACGAGGAGGAGGAAGTGGAGCCGCCCAAGAAGCGTGGGCGGGGACGGCCGAAGGGTCAAGCCGCCAAACCCAAGGCCAAGCCACAGCCAAAGGCTGCAAAGGCCAAGGCTTTGAAGAAGCAGAAGATTGAGGAAGTTGAAGATAACTACCAAGATGAGCAGCCTGACGAGGATGACGACGAGGATGACGACGAGGGAGATGATTTCGAGGGCGAGAGGAGGGTCACCATCATCCCGCTCGAAAAGCTCCGGCCCCTAGATGGCGTCGACTACTCTGATGAGACTGTACACAAGAACACACTCCTATTCTTGAAAGACCTGAAGTCTCATAATCAGAGGTCGTGGCTCAAGAGTATGGCTCACTCGGACTCAATCTTGACTTGGAAAAAAGCTGACACCATTATAGGCCATGACGGCGAGTATAGGCGTGCGCTTAAGGACTGGAACTCCTTCGTTGAGACCATTACGCCCAAGGTCACAGAGGTCGACTTCACCATCCCCGAGCTGCCTGCCAAGGATCTCGTCTTTCGGATTCACCGGGACATTCGCTTCAGCAAGGACCCGACCCCGTACAAGGTGCGACATGACAAATTCTTTTCAACTTGATCTTATCGTATACGTGTGTTTAACGAGAGCTTCATAGGCTCATTTCTCAGCCGCGTGGTCAAGGACAGGCAAAAAAGGCCCGTACGCTTGCTATTACATCCATCTCGAGCCGGGCTCCTGCTTCATCGGCGGCGGTCTATGGTGCCCCGAGGCATCGCATCTGCAAAAGTTGAGGGAGAGCATCGACGAACGGCCGCAGCGTTGGCGTAGGGCTTTGAACGATGAGAGGTTCAAGAGGACATTCCTACCCAAGGCCGCGAAGAAAGGGGGCGAGGAGGGAGCGTTGAAGGCGTTCGCCGAGACGAACAAGGGTAATGCGCTGAAGACGAAGCCAAAGGCAGGTTCGCTCAATGATGTTTTTCGACACAGCTCCCAAGGAGACTCGGCATTTGGCTAACTTGTGCTGGCAGGGCTATCTGGCGGACCATCGCGATATCGAACTTTTGAAGTTGCGCAACTTCACCATTAGCAAGAAGGTTGACGATCGGATCTTCACCGAAGAGGACGCCCAAGACAAGGTTTGCGAGATCATCGCAGCCATGCACCCTTTTGTAAGCCCAGAGCCCTCTCACCCCGTGGCTCGGCTGACTGGGAGCAGATCACTTTCCTGAACAGCATTGTCATGCCCGACCCCAACCTGGATGACGAAGACGACAGCGAAGATGAGGACGACGGAGACCAGGAGGAGAATGGAGATGCCGAAGAAGGCAGTAATCCCGAGGAGACGGGCGATGAAGAGGAGGAAGAAGGCAAGGATTGGAGCACGCACAAGTTTTGAGATCTGATACGAGTTGTAGCTACCTCTCGCGTGCCGATACTTTGCATACTGTTGCGTCGGAGCTGACGGGAGGATTTTGAATCTGGTTCTGGGTGGCTCGGCAGGTCGAGTCACGTTTGCGCAGGAGCAATCTGGGCAGCTGTCTCTGTGGGACCACTCGGCCTCATGAGATATGATTGTACGATACGGAATGAAGCGGTTAGAAAACCCAAAAACCGAGGACCGAGTCTTCCAACGAGATGTTCCGCCATACTTTGCCTGAATCGAGTGCTTTGCTAGTTGCATCGCTACGGAAGGTTGTATGCACCGACCCGCGGAAAGGGAGCCCGAAGAAGTCACGTTTGGCTTGGAAGTTGACTACATGGCGATGTCCCCGAATCCAATGGCGCTTACGTTTATATTTTTGACTTATCTCGTATGCGCTTCCATCCAGCACTTCGCAGCGTGGCCCGTTAGCGACTGCTCAACGGTAGTTACGATACGATTCAAAGTTACTAGCATTAGACAAACGCAGTTGCAGCATGTTGTCGTCAGGAACTGTCGTAAAAAACGGCGCCGTTAGTTGCGGGCAGTTACCAATGTCTAGTCAGCCCGTACAGGTGGACATTTAATGATGTTATTGCTTCGTGAGGTTGGCGTTCGTGTTCCAATCATCACATCGGACTACAGCAAGCTTCACCACTTCAACAGCCCCATAATCTCTTCCGAAGCAAGGCAAAATTCCATGTTGAGCATCGAAAGCATTTTAACCCCCCTTAACCAACCCTTAATCTCTACCACAACGACCACAAGATGCATTCTCGGTCTCTCAAGAAGCTTGCCCTCCCCCCCCCCCCCCCCCCCCCCGGTTTTAGTGCCTGCTTTGCTTCGAGGGCTACCAGCGTCGACTGCTGCAGTCAGTGTGTGTGTCCCAAGGACATGCTGCTGCTCAACACAGACATCGAACATTATCAAAGTGAGCGATCCTAAAAAACTACAGGCAACCAAAGCCCGTCTTTGATGCCACGCGCCGCTACGTCGGTCTAAGCAAATCTTCGCTCCGGCAGACCTCGTTGAAGCCAAGCAACTGCCCAAGGACCTTCGTCGAGACCCATGGTATCGGTCGGCGTTGTCGGGCGGCTTCCTCTACGGCTCGGAGCGAGGAATGCGACTCGGCGAAGGTCGTCAACGCCATGCTCGCGGCCAAGGAAGGGCACGGTCGAGTACGATCAAGAAGCTCAAGACCATGGTTTGACATGCACGTCAACCAAGCCGCTGCGGCAGAAGCAGGGCACTGGTCACCCCAGGCAGGAGGCCGAGTCCGCGCTGTCCGGTATGTTCGGGAGGGGAGGCTTTCTCGGCGAGAGCAACCAGATGTGGTTGCAGATCTACGACGAGCGGTGGCTCGGGGTCCCGTCATGGCCGGTAAGATGGTGACATGTGGGCGGGGCGGCCGGAGCCAGCTCCGGCCGGATGGGGGGGAATACATGGGCGGCGTCGGCCTGGACTTAGCAGTGCACGTCTATCCCACCCTGGTTCAGATGAGTTTTGGAACAGCGCCTTTTTAATTAATTAATTGTTTTTTTATTTTTCGGTCGCATATCCTTTTGGTCACTCACTTCAAGTCTGGTTCATTCAAGGAGAAGTAAGTGCGTTGGCTGAAGCTGTCAATGGGGTGGTGCTCGCCGGCTACGCGTGACCTGGGCAGCAGTATTCTCCAAAGTCATAATTTCGTATGCTTGCCTTGTCAGAGACGACACCGGGAAGCAGATGCGTCAGACCACATTGACCCTCTGTGCCCTCGTGAGCACTACTCAATGGAAATCACCCGCGTTGGCAGTATTCAATATGTGAGCCATACTACATGTATCTGTGGTCGACAGCGACCCTCCCCTGGGGGGTATCTCCTTATGAGAGCAATCAATTCGAGACCGGCTGATGTTGAATGATCGCAACGTAAACCGCTATGTTTATTTGGAGTTCATATATACATATGAAATATTATCATTAACCATCTCGAGTCCTCGGAACACTACCCGAGAGCCACCCGCGGCATCCAGAATGTCTCAAAAAAGAGTACTCCCTTCTCAGTCTAGGTCGCGGAGCCACGGCCCGACAAAGCCGCTCACAGCCAAGTGTAACACACGTCGGCGACGGGGACCTCGGCGTCCCAGAGCTCCTGCGACCACCACTGCGTGGCGTAGCCGAAGACGCTGAAGAAGAAGTCGCTCTTGATGGCGAAGCCCTGCTGGCAGTCCGTGTTGTCCTGGCCGATGCCGGTGCCGCCGGTGCCGGCCTCCTGGCTGGCGGTCAGGATGAAGTCGTTGTTGAGCTTGGAGCGGGTGTCGACGCCGGAGGAGAGGCTGGCGGCGCCGCCGAGGATCTCGAAGACGAGCTCGACGCCGAGCTCGACGTAGGGGTTCACGGTGACGGCGGCCTTCTGGGTGATGTTGGCGTTGGCGGTCCAGACGGGCTCCCAGCCGGTGACGGCGGTGGCGGAGCTGTTGACGAGGTCGAGGTGGATCTTGGCGTCGGGGAAGGTGAGGCCGAAGTCGGTGGTGATGCCCGCCGCGGCGTCGGCGTCGAGCTCGACGCCGATGGCGAAGCCGAGCGCGGGGCCGAGCTTGATGATGCCGGGGATGTCGACGAAGCTGGAGCGCGCCACCGAGGTTAGGACGACGAGGGACACAAAAGGGACGGGGGGTTTCGCGAAAAAGAGACGAAAAGAAAGGATTTACTTACTTGTAGCCGAGGTCCTCGGGGTCGTAGCTGAAGTTGCCAGAGTAGGGAGCCGTGACGTCGACGGACAGGCCGAGGTCGGCGCCGAAGTAGGTGTCGATGTCGAGCTCGAGCTGCTCGACCTTGGGGGGCACGATGGTGTACTTGAGCTTGCCGGAGAAGGTCATGTTGGAGGTGAGGGAGGCCTTGTCGGCGGTGATGGTGACGTAGGGGTCGTAGGAGAAGAGGGTCGACGCGGCGGGCAGCGAGAGCTCGTTTGAGATGTGCAGACCGTTCTCGTCCGTCGTGATGGCGCGCTTGGCGGAGGGGTCCTGGAAGGGTACGCTAGAGAAGGAGATCTCGGTCGAGGCTGGTGGGGGGAGGCGGGGTCAGCATCGTCGACGAAGAGGGACGACGAGAGAGGAAGAGAGAGAGAAGAAAGAAACTAACTAGCCGTGTTGGCAACGTCGCTCTTGTGGGCGTTGGCGACGACCTGGAGCGAGGCCTCGTCCAAGGTGACGGTGTCGACGAGGAAGAAGCCACGCTCCTCCTCGGCGTCGCAGTTGCCCTGGTGGTTGGTGACCATAACGAAGTCGTCGAGGCCCTCCCACTGCTGCGAGGTCTGCTGGAAGGAGGCCTTGTCGTTGAAGGTGATAGTGATGCTCGTGTCCGCGCAGGAGACGGAGGCGATGGCCGCGACCTCCTCGAGCAAGACCGAGGGGTACTTCATGGCCAGCTCGACGCTGACGAGGCCGCTGTCGTCGGCGGCGCCATAGTTGAGCGTGATGCTGTTGGACGGCGCCACGACGGCGGCCAGGAGCTTCTCGTTGTACACGGGCCGCCGGACGGGGCGGAGGGTGGTAGTCGTGTTGACGGCGTTGGCGCCGACGGCGGCCAGGGCGAGGGTGACAAGGGCGAGCATCGTGGCGGTCCGGAGTCTGAAAGAGAGAAAGGGGGAGCTACTCTGAGTGAAGCCTGACGAACCGAGACCAAGGCACGAGAGCATCGCAAGAGTTCATATAGAGGGCCGAGATGGAAGCATGTTAGCCATACATTGTCCGCCCTCTTGACCGCGGGCCTATCTCATAGCGCGGTTGGTATCGTAAGCGCGATAGCCCTCCGCCGAGCCTGCATGTATCGTGCAGCATTTCCTTCGCGATGGCATCACGATCACAGTTCCCAGTTACCGGAATAGGAATGTCATCTTGTTCCTTGTTTCGTCCACGCACTCGGCCATAATTGGCGTAACCGCCCCCACCCCTCATCCCCTGCCGGTGCGCGAGTCACGAAGAGGTGCCGAAAAGCGACACAAGGTTATCGATGTTATCAATCAATCACACCCTGTTGCGAAGTCCTGCCTGATCTAACGTCGCATTGGGCGGCGGGGCTCACAATGTTATTTGATTTACCGGTTGAGCCCGGCACGCACGTGCAGCCGTGCTCCGGATCGCGAGGCGGGAGATAGCCAGCGCTCCCCCCTTGTCAGAAGTGTCTCATTGGACGGCCCTTGAAGCCGAGAATACCGGGAGGGTAATGCAATTGCACATGGCACATGCGACCGAGGAACGACAAAATGGTAGCACCTCTGGCGGAGCTTTCGGGCGACATATCCCGGAATGGCGCTTTGCGGGGACGTCCAAACCGGGGATTGCAACCGTGACGGGACCAGCGACAAGGTCAGTGGCCGGTTACGGAAGCTCGGAAAGCATCCTTCTGCGAGCAAAGAACAGCTCAATGGCACCGTGGTGAAAGCGATAACAGAAAACGCTTAACTCGTCTCAAATCATTACCAGTCTAAGCGGGCACGTTGCTAGATGCCGGGTGTCTTAAGGCGGAAAACAAATACAACCTGCAGACCACTTTCCCCACCTGACGTGATTGGGTATCCCTCGGATTATACTCGGTTAGATATGGCAAGCATGGGGAGTGAGAAACCATGTGATTGCTTATGCCGGCAAGATGCTACCATCTTGGCTCCGGTCTCTCAGTGGCAGGGGTCTCCAGCGCGTTCCTGTCGGCAAACGGGTCGTCATCGTCCTCGTCCTCCCCTTCCGAATCAGACTGAGCCCGCTGGACGGGAGGTCTCGGAGGCTTCGCAGGGGCAGGTGCCGGGATAGGAGGAGAAGGCTTTGACATCGGAACAGGACGGGGCGGGGGAGGAGGGCGGGACGATGGCGTCTGGTCGATGCTCAGGCCAGAGACGTCAGGAGGAGGCGGAGACATGGATTGCTTGGCCCTTTCTGATACCACTGCAAATTGTCAGCACGGACCCTGCGTGAGATTGAGGACGACAGGCATACTCCGGTAGATGTGGGCTTGCTCGGCAAGCTCGTCATCGGAATCACTGTCGGCATCGATCGACCGATCAAGTTGCTCAAAGGTCATAAGAGCCGTTACGAGCTCGTCGTTAGCCTTCAGAAGACTGCCGAGCCACTCCTCCGATTCGATGTGGTGGATCTGGGAGATGGTTAGTTCGGAAATCTCGCGAGAGGAACGTGGGCAGACTCACGTAGCGAAGGATTTTCCGTCTTAGCTGCTTGCAATTCTCGAATTGCTGGACAGCCTGAGGGTTCTCGGAAATCCGCTCCCTTTCACGGTTGATGCTTTGCAGGTGGTTGGTAAGGTTAGTGGTGGCGATGGAGCTCTCGGCAATGGCGCTCTTCATTGCATCCTTCTCCAGCTCCAGGTTGAAGGGCTTGCGCTTGCCCTTCTTTTCCTTGTCCTTCTTCTTCTTGTCCTTGGAGGAGCCGAAGAAAGAGCCGCCAGAATGGGACGAGGACTTGGAGTGTCCGCCAGCGCCGGCGGCGGCGGTAGATTCGCCGTATGGCAGATACGGGGTGCGCTGAGGACGGGAAGACTCCCCGGCACGGACGGGGGCCAAAGGGGGAGAAGGGGGCTTGTCCTCTTCTTCCTCGCCGAATGGGTTTTCGGTCTCCCGGACAGCCTTGGACCTCTCTTGGGTGACGGCAACCTTGCGCTTGGGGAGTTCCTGCAGAGGTTAGCTCCCGGGGTCCCCTCTTGGCGGACGGCTGGGCCTTACCTGGTGCAGCCTGGCGATGCGCTCGAGGCCCGGCGTGCTCTTGTACTGGGACCAGCTGCGGAAGAGCTCGGTGCACTTCTTTTTGACATCCGGGTCGGACAGGTCAGAGGTTCCGCAGACCCTCAGTCGCTCCAACAGGGTCTCGTCGGCGAAGGCGCGCTGGAAGCGGGGGCCGGCGTTCTGAATGAGGCCGTCGAGGATTGTAAGAGCCCTGAGCTGGCGGTGGACGTTGCCGTACTTGAGTTTCTTGCGGATGGCACGGGCGGCCTCAGCCGGACCGGAGGCCTGGAGCTTGATGACCTCGACGAGGTCGGGGATGCCGCTCAAGTCGTCCTCATCATACGTCTCGGAGGTGAGCGTCTCGATGCTCACCGTCACGGCCGAGTATGGTTTCTTCTGTGGGCTGGTCAGTGCTCGTTCGCTCAAGACAGTCGGAGGCTTCTTCAAAGGCACATATGGCTCATGGTCAAGAGGCATGCAGTTCCTTGACATTCGTGGCTCTGAATGAACCGTACTGGGTTCCTTTGGCCGTGCCGGTTACTCGCGCGTACCATGGCCTGGTGAGGTGGGCCGAGAGTGGGAAGGTGAGGGGTCACGCCTACCTGAGAGAACATGATGTCGGTACCCAGATGGTGGGTGGTATCAGATATCCAGAGACGGAGTGACCAGGCCCAAGCCTCTTCTACGAGCCGTTGATGGCGGAGGGGTGGCGCAACTCAGGTGGCTGATGGCAAGAGGGATTTAGAGGAGATGGTCGTGAGGGTGGCAAACGGACAGGCAGGCCAGACAGACGGTCGCGAGAGGCAGTCGCGGGTCGTCAATAAGAGCGAGAGATGTGAATCAGCGGGAGAGAATACGAAGGCCGGTAAGAAACATGAGACGTATAGTCAGTCGTCAAGATCGGGCTCAGTCTGGTTCGGGCTGGAGTGTGTGTATGTGTGTGTGATGTGAGGGACGGATGAGGCAGCCGTGGTGGGGCAAAGCGTTCCTTCCCCTCCAAAGCTGGCGTCCCGCGGGGTCTATGGTACGTACCCACCCAAAACACCCCGCTGACGCAATTTCTGCAGAGCATGTGGAACCAAACCGCCCAAAAACCACCGACCTTGGACACAGACAGAGGGGTCGCCCGTCTGGCTGTTGTGTTGCGTTGCTCGCAAACAAACTAACAAACTCACGAACTAAACCAAACGATGCAGGATAGAAACAAAAGCTTTCCGATCCGTTGCCAATTCTAAGGCGTTTCCTACCAAGAGAGTTTCGGACCATTTTAAGTCCGTCTGCCACTTCCAGGGGGTGTTTGTCAAAACAACCTCGCACAAAGGGCTGGGAGCACGGGTCCTTTAGTGATCAAACAAACCAGCTTCCAATCCTGTGGGGCGCCGTCATCCGGCTTGGCCAATCACAAGTTCCTATTCCAAGCATTGTGCGACTTTCTCTCTCTGTCCAAGGTCGCTCGAGACACATACAATCAATCCAAACAAAGGGCAGTTATTAGCTGTATAACTCTCTAGAACAGTAAAAACAAACTGCCAAAGTAACATTTAACAAAGCATGTGACCACTAGTATTGTTAACTAAGTTTACTAGGGAGAGTACAATAGAAAACGCAGGCTACATTTGTATGCTCGGTACTAATAGACAATGTAGACCAAGACCGTGCTATTACTAAGCTGCCACCGTCACCTAATCAAATTTCAAATTCCCAACGGTCCACAGACTGCGCTACATATTTCCAAAAACTGCGCTAGCCGACAATTCCCGAGACACAAGCATCTCATATCCCCGATGGCACAATTGGCTAGCGCGTCAGACTGTTAATCTGGAGGTTGGTGGTTCGAGCCCACCTCGGGGAGATTCAGTGGTTAAACTCCACCTTCCATTGAGATGATATGTTCTTTAATTTTTGTCTCTTTTCCGTTCGTCCGTGTCAATGACGCTTCCTGGCTAGGTCATTTTCACTGTTATGTTATTTTTTATTTAAACATTGCTCGTTCTCTTTGCGTATCACCAGTACAATAGATACACTTTTGAATGCGTGCCATGTGCAAACCTCGTGCGTCGCCTATGGCAATGTGTATCCGCCATCAATAACCAGATTTGCCCCTGATCATTCATTCCACTTAGTACATCGTCAACGAGGGCTTCCAAGAGGCGAGGGCATACCTGTCATGTAACTGCTCGCATCGCTGGCGAGAAACACATACGAGCCCTTCAACTCGGCAGGCTCGCAGAGCCGTCCCCCGGGGATCATGGAGAACCATTTCTTCCTCCACTCCTCGGGATGCACCGCAAGCACTGCTGCTAGTCAGCCCATCGTCACTCACTCGCTCACTCGCTCTTCTGCCCAGATACGCCAGAGCCCGAACTTACTATCAGTCGCAATGAAGCCCGGGCTGACGCAGTTCACCCTTGCCCAGTCAACCCACTCCACCGACAATGACTTGGCCAGGTGCACCACCGCCGCCTTGCTGGCATTGTACGCCGCCTGCTTCTGCGGCACGTTGACCAGGATCGCCGACACGGATGCCGTGAAGATGATGCTGCCCCTGCCGTCGCCGCCCGCCTTGAACTGTCGCTCGAAGATCTTGGCCGCCGCCTGCGCCGTCCAGAAAGCACCGTGGAAGTTCACGTCCAGCATGTCCCGGAACCTGTCCTCGGCGTACTCGAGCGCCGGGGCGTGGTCCGCGATGCCGGCGTTGGCGACCACGACGTCGAGCCTCCCGCCGCCGACCTCTTCCGTCGCCGCCTCCATGACGGACGCCACCTCGCCGCGGTTGCGGACGTCGCACCTGTACGCCTTGACGCGCACGCCGTTGCCCGACTCGGAGAGCGCGGCCGCCGTGGCCTCGGCTTCCGCCGGCGGCGTGCTGGTGTAGGTGATTGCGACCCTGGCGCCGGCCTCGGCGAGGCCCCGCGCGACTTCGAGGCCGATGCCGCGGGTCCCGCCCGTGACGATGGCGGTCTTGCCGGCGAGGTTGAAGTGCGAGATGACCGGCGCGGTAGGGTTTGGATGGTTCGGGAGGACCATGGCTGCTGATTGATGTCTCCGAGCTTTACAAGAGCTGCTGCTGATATATCCGTCTTGTTGGTAAACTATGTCGCTTCCGATGCTTGGTGGTTTCCATGTCCTCGCTGCCGACCAGGACAGGGCATGAGTCGGATCATTTGTACCGGGCCGCCCACGGGAGCGGTGGGTCGGGTTGCCGTCAATGCGCGTGCCGGCGAATGGGAGAATCGGTCGACAGTCGTCCGGAGCGGGAGGGGCAGTCTCCGGTGCGGGGAACCTGGCGAAACGGACACCTGTGACCCCCGGACGCCAGCAGCTCAAAGCGTATCGAAGTTGGGTCGACCTTGGGAAGCAAAGGTTGCGCAGCCACGCGCTGAGGGGTATTGCATTCCGAGTATCGGTCCAGTTCATGCGTTGAGTTTGTGAGTGATTAGACAAGCAGGCAGGTATGCCCACGTTGACGGAACATAACGGAGCCTGGCGCGGTCAACGGGATGCCATCTCAACGGTGTGCAGGGATGGTCGGGTCTACGCATCGACCTAAATTTAGACACCAAGGCATCAATCAAGTGACCTTGCCAGAACAGAAGTTTCGTGGAAGCATGGGTGAGATGCTCGAGTTTCATTGATCATTGCTGTCTATTTCGGTACGCCTTGAATAACCACCTTGAGCGTGTCTTCCTTTGCCTGCCTGACCACCTCGAATGCCTCGAGAGCCTCCTCAAACTTGTAACGATGAGTGATCAACTTCCTTGGCTGAACCTTCCCGGACGCAACCAGGCTCACTGCTTCGGGATAGCATCCCGTCGTGTATCTGATGGAGCCCTTGATGACCAATGCTCTGATACAGGCCGCGGTGATGGGAAAGACCACGTTCTGGCCATTGTCAGCAAACACATCCCCCGCCGGACGAACCAATGTAATGCACATACCTCCTTCCCCATACCCGCCTGCACGAAGGTGCCTCCCTTCTTCGCCGCAAAGACCCCGGCCTGGATGCACGGCTCCGCGCCGGTGCACTCCAGCACCACGTCGGCGCCGTCTCCCAGACCGTGCTCCCTCACGATCTTCTCGCCGACCGCCCGGGCGGCCTCGACGGGGTCCCCCGGCGCCCCGGGCAGCCGCTTGGAGACGTAGACGTCGTCCGCGGCGAACGCCTTGGCGAACCGCGCCCGGGACTCGGACACGTCGACGCCGACGACCCTGCTGGCGCCGTACGCCTTGGCGACGGCCTGGCACAGCACGCCGATGGGCCCGCACCCGAACACGAGCACCGTCTGGCCGCCCCTGAGCCCGGCGACCTTGCAGATCTGGACGGCGACGGCGACCGGCTCCACCAGCGCGCCGTCTTCCGCGGACATGTGGTCCGGGATCGGGTACGTGTAGTCGCCGGCGACGATGTAATACTTCTGCAGCGTGCCGTCCCACGGCGGCGTCGCCGCGAAGACCGTGTCCGCGCACAGGTTGTACGCGCCCGCTCGGCAGTAATCGCAGCTTTCGGTTTTTTGATGGTTAGCGTACCTTTCCCCCCTCCTTCCTTGCATTGCGACATGCAAAAAAGAAGAAGAAAAAAAGAAGAAGAGGAGGAGGAGGAGCAGGAGGGGACTCACTGCCGGCATGGCACGCCCGGTTCGATCGCCACGCGGTCACCGACCTTGACGTTCTTCACCTTGCCTCCGACCTCGACGACGGTCCCGGCGCTCTCGTGGCCGAGCACGATGGGGGACTCGAGGACGAAGTCGCCGATGCGGCCGCGCTGCCAGTAGTGCACGTCGCTGCCGCAGATGCCCGTCTGCTCGACGTGCACTCGCACGTCGTACTCGTCGCGGAGTGCCGGGACCTCTCGGTTCTCGAACGAGACGTTTTGAACGGACCGGAGCACGAAGGCAGGGTTCTGTTCGGTCGGTCGGTCAGTGACGTTCGACTCAGTGGCAAGGTCTCTGGATGCTCACTAGCTCAGTCATTTTCGGCAGTTTCTTTTTGGGGTTGCTTTGATGGATGTAGTCTTTGGTTTGAGGGAGGAACCCGGATTGAGTGATGATGGAGCTTGTGACGGCGCAGGCCCAGTTCTCAAAGCTCACAAGCCTGCCGTCGTCTTATTTGTGCGGGGAGCCGAGCCATGGCCGTGACGTCGACGCGGGGTACCGCCGCACCGGCCGGCGTGGGGCCGCCGTGAGGGGCCGAAGTGAAATCGGGCGACTGTGGTCCGCTGTGTTACCAACGTCGGGCCGCAGTGTCCATGACAGGAAGAGCGATTCTGATAGACTATCCTTTTCAGGTGCAAGCCCGAATTCATTGGACTATATTTGCCCCCCCCCTTGTTCGTGAGGATCCTGTTTTCCGGTATTATCGGTCATTCACACGAGGGCCCAGTCACGATGGAATCGACCTACAAAGCCCTTGTCCAGCACACCTTACTCAAGTGGAACGAAAAGCGGCAATCTGCATCTGGCACAGCCGTCGTGCATCCCCGACTCATCATCGCGCTCGCTGGACCACCAGGCTCTGGCAAGACCACCATCGCGCGGCGCGTGGTCTCCGAACTCGACTCGTCCCCGGAACCCCGCCCAAAGTCCGTGGTAGTGTCCGCCGACGGCTTCCACCTGCCTCTCGAGGCGCTGCGCGCGCTCCCCGACGCCGCGGAGGCCGTCGCCCGCCGCGGCGCGCCGTGGACCTTTGACGGCCCGGGCCTCGTCCGCCTCGTCCGCCAGCTACGGGCCTCTGCGGGCCTGCGCCCCGTCCAGGCGCCCACTTTCGACCACGAGTTGAAGGATCCCGTCCCTCGTGGGCTCACCATAGAAGCGGACGTCGACGTCTGCGTCGTCGAGGGGAACTACCTACTCGTGAACGAGGGGCCCTGGAGCCGGGTCGTGCCGCTGGTAGACGATCGGTGGCTTGTGAGGGTCGAGCCGACGCTGGCCCGGAACAGGGTTGCCGCGCGACACGTCGCGGCCGGAGTTGAAGGTATAATGGAAAAGGCACTGCTTCGGGCGGAAAGTAACGACATGGTCAACGGGGAATACATCGCCAGGCACAGTGAGGGGAGGTACGATTTGCTGATTGATAGCGTAGAGGAGCTACCAAACTATGCCCCTGTCTTCCGTGTTAGAGCGGAGGTTTTCGACTGTCCGGACATTAAACAACCCCCCCCCCCAAGCCTTGCGTATTCTTGGGTGCATATTTCACTGACCTGTATCGGCATGTGAAACACGCAGTGAATGTCCGGGGTAAGGGTGACAGTATCCCGTCTGGCGACCAACTCTGGACATTGCACTGGGGTTCCGGGGAGTCCTAGTCTGCAACCACTTTACTCGGAAGAGTTCCCCGTCATGCTAGCTTCCGTCTTGTTGCAATGGCACTGCATGACTTCTATTTGAGCTCCCCCGAAGATCTTGGATGAAAATCAACGTTCGTGTCAAAGAACAGATTTTCTATCCGCACACACGCAGCCCATCTCCATTCTCTTTTACTCAGAAAGCCTTTGTCAAAGATGACAATCAACGGCGGCACAAATGGAACAACCAAGTCCATCAGGGCTCCCAACCCACCAGTCGAGGACAGCGTCTTCAAGCAGTTTCGGCTAGACGGACGCACAGTCATCATCACTGGTGGAGCGGGAGGCATAGGCTCGGAGATCGCCAGGGGCCTTGCGGAAGCTGGAGCCAACGTGAGCATTACCTCTGCATGCCTCCCAAGAATGAATGACTGGAGTGCTAATACCGACGCCCCCCTCCCCCTGAAGATCGCCATCTGGTATCATACGTCTAAAGCGGCCATCACCATCGCCGAAAGCATCACCCAGGACTTCGGGGTCAAGACCAAGGCCTACCGGGTCGACGTGACCAGCTACAGCGACGTCGAGGCCGCCGTCGCGCACGCCGTCGAGGACTTTGGCCGCCTAGACGTCATGATCGCCAACGCCGGCGTCCCCTCCAAAGCCGGGGGCCTGGATGACGGGGTCGAAGACTGGAACCGTGTGAGGGCGGTGGATTTCGACGGCGCGTACTACTGCATGAGGGCTGCAGGGCTCGTCTTCCGCGACCAGAAGAGCGGCGTGGGGATCATCACCGCGTCCATGAGCGGCCACGCCGCCAACGTGCCGCAGGAGCAGAGTTGTTACAACGCGTGCAAGGCGGGGACGGTACGTATTGTATCCGGCCGATTGCTGGACGTCCCCCCGGGGGGGCTAACACCGAGCTCTTCCAGATTCACCTCGCCCGGTCGCTAGCTGTTGAGTGGGCCAAGTGGGGAGGCCGGATCAACTCGGTTTCGCCCGGCTACATCGACACCGTCATGTCGGGTGACTGTCCTTTCGAGATGAAGGAGGAGTGGTTCGGTCTGACGCCGCTGCGTAGAGACGCCGACCCGAGAGAGCTGAAAGGGATATACCTGTACTTGGCCAGTGATGCCAGCTCTTACACGACTGGGGCCGACTTCATCATCGACGGTGGCTATACGGCGCGATAGGCATTGTGTTTCTGAGGGACTCAAAATCATCGATGGAGAGAAATTGAGATATGAGAAAAAAACAAATAAGCCTCCCGGTTTTGATAAACATGACCTGTCGTAAAAGTTTCTTCATACGCCTTGCATGACTCACATGCCGTGATTCCCCAAAGACATTACTAGCCTTAGTTGTTCTAAGTCATGATGAGAGAAAGGCTATGTGGGAGCAGCAAAGTGAGGCAATATCCGTTGATATTGGCGATAACTGTGATGTGAAGCTAACTAGGAGTAGGCTGCCCGCAGTGGGCAGAGGCTGGCCGAGAAGGAGGTGGAGGTAGGTCACGTGACCCATAGGCTCCTCCACCAACACTCCCCCTTAGGCTCTGCTAGCCTACTCCTGCATATTGTAACAATAGTAGTAAATAACTGCCTAACCTTAAATCCTCTAAATCTAAGGAGTTTTTAAAGTATATAATAACTTTAGTAAAAGGCTAGTAATTTACTTATTAGTCTAGTAATAATTTATTTATATACTAATAAGCCTATATAAACTATAAACTATATAATTTATTATTTATATAGTTTACTTATATTCTTATATAACTTATTAATCTAATCTATTTACTATACTTAGTAATCTAATAAAATCCTTATGTTTATTTAAGGCTAGTGCCTTTATAAGGCTATTAGTAGCTATCTTAGTACTATAAATAAGTTAAAGGGTAATATTCTTATAAATATAAACCTCTTAGATTATCTATTTATAATAGATATTAATACTTTAAGTTTATACTTTATTAAAGAGATTTATAATATTAACTATTATATTAGTACTATTAGTAAAAAAGATAATTAAAGTATTTAGTAGTTAACTAAGAAGCTATTTAGTATAATAATAAATCTACTTTATAGTAATTACTACTAGCGTAAGGTTAATAAATTTTACTTTAGTAAAGCTTAAAGTAATAAAGGTCTATTACTTAGACTTTTAGGCTACTAGTAAGCTAGTAAAGTAGATAATATAACTACCTATAGATACCTATAATAAGTAATTATTAGTAAAAGAAGTATCTACTATAGTATAAAGGCTAATATTAGTAAAGAAGTTAAGTTTACTAAATAAGATACTATAATAAGTAGTACCTTTAAGGTAGTAAAAAAAGTACTTAATAGCTACCTAATAGGTAGGTAATAGGCTAGTATTAGCCTAAGAGAGCTTACTAACTATAAAAGTAATATCTAGGTATATACTAGTAGCTAACTAGTTAAGGTAGCTAGTCTATTTAATATAGAGTTATTAGTTAGTGTTAGTATAGTTATCTTTATTCTAAGTAATAAGAAGGTCTTTGTTAGTAAGTAATAATGTTTTAACTAGCTAGAGGTTAGTATAACTAAAGTAATAAAGTATACCTTTAGTATACTTATATTAATTAATATAAATCTTATTAGTAGTAGAATACTAAATCTAAAAGCTAAGAAACTAAGAGGCCTTACTAAGGTCTTTTAGTAAGTAGACCTTAGTAAGTATATTATATACTTTCCTAGTTATCTTAGTAGTAGGTGTAGCTACTATATTATTATTAATATATATTAAGGCATAGGTATTAAGGTCTTTATTATAGAAAAGGTAGATCTCTTCTTTAACTAGCTAGAAGCTAATGTTCTCTATTTTGCCTTTAATAAGTATAAACTACTATAGTAGTAACTTATATAGACTATAGAGGGCCTTTTAAAGTAACTAGACCTTGTTATTAGTAGTAGTATAACTAGTTAGTTATTTAATATAGACATTAGTGTTAGTAAAAACAAAGGTAGTAAAAAAAGTAGTATTAAAGTTATATATTTTATACTTTAATTTATAAAGAGTAATAATAGTAAAAAAGAGGTAAATAGTAGTAGTAGTAGCTATAGCTATATATACTTTTTATAATAACTAATTACCTTACTTAAAGTTACTATAGACTACTTATTAGGCCTTAAAGTATATAATTTTATTATTTATATTAGTTTTAATATTAAATACTTATTTACTTAGTAGTACTTTAGCTTTAGTTAAAAGGTTAATAAAGGTATACACCTCCTTATTATTAAACTACTAGATCTTAGTATTATAGGCCTATTTTTAATAGTGCTAGTGTAAGCCTTTTTTTACCTTCTTAAAGGTAGTAAGTATATTATAATTAGTAAGTAGTACCTTTAATAATATAGCTACTATAAAGGTACTAATAAAGTAACCTTAATTATCTTAGTGTACTTAAATATTAGCTAAAAGATATACCTTTTTCTTATAGTTTTAGATGCTTACTATCTTATAATAGTAGCTAAGTAGCTTTACTATACTAGTGTAATATAGGTAACTAGTAGTAATATACTTAGTAGTAGATATAGTAGTAAAGGCCTTAATAATAAGGTCTAGCTTATCCTCCTCTATAACTAGAGGAAAGTAGTTAGCCTTCTATTAAATAACCTTATAAAACTTATTATTAGTAAAGGTATTATTTTATTTATTTAGTTATTTATTTATAGGCTATTTATTAATAAATAATAAGGTAGGTATAGTAGTGTCCTCTAGAGGTAAAGTTATATAGGTAGTATTATTAATATACTTACTATTAATAGTACTACTATTAGTTTAGTTAGCCTACTAGTTTTATAGGGTCTTAGTAACTAGTAGGTAAGAATTAAGGACTTAGCTAGGAAACTAAATCTAGAGGTTAGGCTTATTAAAAAGCACCTTATAGTTAGTATTTACTAGAATATTTACGTTAGCAATAGGGTAAAGAATAGTCTTCTTTTTCTCTTTATAAAAATAAATATTATAGTAATAGATAACTTACTTCTAATTAAGGATATAGATATAATAAATATAACTATATAAAGAGCTATAACTAATAAAGTAACCCTTTATTATATAAGGCTTTATTTTTATAGAATAAGAAGGGCACTTACTACCTTTTTTATATATATATATAATATAACTAAAGGTATAAATAATATAGCCTTTCTACTAGCTGTTATAGATCTAATAGGAGGAGTAAGGCTATAATAGGTAATATAAAGTAATATAGTATAAAAGTAAAATATAATAGTAGAGTAGTAAAATAAGGTAAACAGTAATAAGGAGCTAAATAAATAACATAGGACAAGAGCTAGGTATTAGTATAGGTTGTCTATTAAGGTTACCTTTCCTTATAGAAGGAAATAGGTAATAGGATATATACCCCTAGGTATATACCTAAATATATACTAATAAGGTAATTCTATATCCTACTTATTTATTTACTATATAAGGCACTTGTCTTATAATAAGTGCCTCCCCCTTAAAGGACTTTATTCTTTTTTACTAAGAAAATATACTAAATAGTAGTATATATAAATATAAAGTATAGAAATTACTTTTCTTCTTATATAATAACCTTATTACTTATTATCTCTAAAGTTTTATTAAGATTATTTAGCTTTTAGTAGTGCCTAGGCTAGGTTATTATTATTAGTGTTATAGTAGTATTTATTAGCTTAGTTGCCTTAGGTTATTAAGGT